GTTGCTGCTGCTGCTGGTGCTGCTGCTGCTGCTGCTGCTGCTGGTGCTGCTGGTGCTGGTGCTGGTGCTGGTGCTGGTGCTGCTGCTGGTGCTGCTGCTGGTGCTGCTGCTGGTGGTGCTGCTGCTGGTGGTGGTGCTGGTGGTGGTGCTGGTGGTGGTGCTGGTGGTGGTGCTGGTGGTGGTGCTGGTGGTGTTGCTGGTGGTGGTGCTGGTGGTGGTGCTGAGGTGGTGGTGCTGGTCGTGGTGCTGGTGGTGGTGCTGGTGGTGGTGCTGGTGGTGGTGCTGGTGGTGGTGCTGGTGGTGGTGCTGGTGGTGGTACTGGTGGTGGTGCTGGTGGTGGTGCTGGTGGTGGTGGTGGTGCTGGTGGTGGTGGTGGTGGTGGTGGGGGTGGTGGTGGTGGTGGCGGCGGCGGTGGCGGTGGCGGTGGCGGTGGCGGTGGTGGGGTGGCGGTGGCGGCGGCGGCGGCGGTGGTGGCTTGGGAGCGCGCCGCGGCCGTGACCGGACGCAGGATGCAGGATGCGGGATGCGGGACGCGGTGTATCAGTTGGGCTCTGTCTCTCCCTCTCTTGCCCTCCTCGGGTGAAGTTCACCATAACGATATTTCGTAACAACGCTAGGCTTCTAGCCTCCTTGCGCTCGACAAGGATACACCGAGCACGACAAGGCAGCCGACGGTATGATCACGAGACAGCCGACCTGGCTCAAGAGATGCAAGCAAAATCCAGCATTAACTGTTGTGGACCAAATGTCACGACGAGCTACCTATTGGTCTGCCAGCAGACAGAGCCGGCACCTGCAACTGCACGCGCACGAAAGTTCTAAACTTCCAAAGAACACGGTGCGTTCGCCGGGCTCCCAGCTAGGGCACGGTGCGTCAAGGCTGTTGCAGCATGCGCTGCAGGTCGAGTGGCGGATGCCGCCAACATCACGCCTCAGCTGCTTGACTTTACGATGCCATTTTGACGGAAACCGAAGACTCCCTGGGAACCACGCGTAGGAGATGTCCCTACATCCACCAGCAGAGCCAAAGGCTGCAAATGCAAGCCAGAAAAACACTCTAAAGCACTGCGAATCGGTGATCGTCTCCCGCACCATGTGTCAGAAACCAACCAGCATAGCACACGAATGTCAAGAAAGGGACACATCTTCGTGTTTGTCAAGACCACATCAAAAGGCAGCAAAATCATGCCGAACTTGATGCCGATCTCTTTTTCCACGCACTCGGTGGAGGCTTCCAAGATGGCAGTTAGGGCGTGAGGAGTTTACGACGGCTCAACAACGCGCGAGCGAAATTGTCCTGGTTGACGCGTGCCTGTAAAGATAGGCCCAGGACTCACATAATTACTCGGGCCCGACCCTTATCACGCTAGCGGCCTGTTAAACCGTTGTCTAAGTGCATGGAACTTTGGCAAGGCGCATGCAATAATTCCGTCCGGGGGTACTGTGTGTCCGGCGTTGGTTAGCGTTTCCTACAGACCAGGGACAAATGGCCGTGTTTCCCAGCTGTCTCAGTTCCGGCACAGAAGGTAAATTCGATAGCCCACTTGTCAGGACTAGCTGAGTGTAGCACCTCCCATACCGATCCTTCATGCCGTGCATCGACAAAAACCGGAAAGGTCTAGTCGGTTTCAATGTAGACTGCAAATTCTTTCATCGTAGATTCTCTGCCAGGGGCTCCACTTAAACTCCTCAGCCCAAAAACTCCCATCGCGTGCTAACCCTCGATTTTCTAAGAGCTCACCGAAAACTCAGGCGCTTTGTCCATGTTCTTTGGGTCCTCTGAGTAGCCAAACAAGATAAAGTCGGGCCGGTAGCGGTCCATCCTTACACAGAGAGTGGCAGACTTTGGGGGCCTTCAGACCGCAAAACCCAGGTATAACTCAGCAGGCTTTATACTAACTATACTCCACCTTACTTCTGGCAGGTTGCAAGTGCTTCTGGTGCTGCTGCAGCACTCGGACCTGCACGTCGAGCGGCAGCGCCTGGCGCCGCCTCCCGCGCGCCTTCCTCTCACAAGGGGATTTGAGGAAAGATCCCAAAAACCACAGTTCAAAAAAAGCACCTGCAGTAGAGGCACTTTCTGTGCAAGCAACCTTTGGTAGGTCTCTCTCCTGCCCGTCGACGTTGTTCCTGCTTGGAGCCGGTCCCACCTGGAGTTCCACGTTTGTAGATGCGGCAGCGGCCTAGCGCCAGCAGCTTCTTCAAGCAGCAGGGCTGAACATGGACGCAGATGCTCTGCAAAGGCCTGCAAAAGTTGAACTCCTGGCACAGTCTTCGCTTCATTTCCCCCATGTCCTCTTCTATGCTCTCCAAGTGAACCTTGAAATCCACACGAAGGGGAATCAGGGGCGCTGCCTTCGAACTTCGCTCCCGGACGGAAAAGAAGCTTCTGGGACCCAAACTACATGGAACTGGTGGAGGTGGACAGTTCCTCGGAGCGGTCAGGAAGACTTGCAAAATGCAGGAAAGGTGCAGTGAAGTGAAGACGAGCGCATTCTGCCGAAATGGTTCGAAACAGTTGGACACTGCCAGAATCGCCCGCCACGTTGCACTCCTAGCAACGTCCACACCCGAAGACGGCATACGCCGCCGCTTGCAGATGAATCGAACCCCATCGAACTCGATGGACTTGGAGTCGCAATTTCTGTAGCAGCAATGCAGCAACCGACGCTTCTGCAGACTCTGTCGCGATCATGAGACAGGTTTAGCCTTAGAGAGCTTATCCTTCGAAAATTTGAGAACACCCTTCTCAGGGTCGGTACACGATTGGAAACGCAGGCACAGTAACCTCCCCGAGGGTGGCGGTGCACGGAATCAAGCCCATCTGACAAGCCAGCAAACGTCTTGGTTCATTCACCAGCCCGCAACCTTGAAACAACCTGCCCATTTCATGTCGTCTGCTGCCTTCCACAGAGATGGCCTCTAGAAACGGGTCGGGAGTTGCTCCCCTGCCAGTGTGGGGAAGGACTTCGATTTACCAGCGCATGGGCGCATGGGCATACATCCAGGCAATCCAACGCGACCACCATTTCGGAATGGCAAACCGAAGTTCACAGCAAGCATACAAGACAGACTTGAACACAAGAACGCCTTCTCTAGCAGCTGGTGCGGCGACGATACTCGGTTTTGCGACAAGCTGCCCTCTTGTCGGGACTCAGGTTTCTGCAGCATTACCCTCATGGGCTCGACAAGGCAAGTCTCTGTTTAACTCCTCGTACAAGGTGCCGGCATGGATTCCGAGGCCATAAAGCATTGACCGCATCATGTGCATTCTCGCCCAAGATCCGCCTCAAGGCATCACTGCAAGTGGCAAGTGGCTGGCTGCCGCTAGTTCACCAAGAAGCAGTCTACGGGCTGATCTGCCTGGCATCAGGAAGCTGACTCCGAGTCTGTCATTCACGCCCCCAGCCAAGGAGTAAGGGAAAATCGCCGATGCCATGAAACACAGAAAGTACCCAAAGTCGGTCCTTCAATCGCTTCGAGCAGCTTCACAATCCGACGTTTCCAAGACACCTACGAAGCTACGATGACACACATGAAATTGCTCCAACCTCAGCCAAGTGGCTCAACACTGGAGTTCGTGCCTCTGAAACCGTTGATAACCATGTCCCCAGCAAGTCGCGCGCGATCCTGGTTGTTCGCGAGGTCCGCACGCGGTCAAAGTTTTGAGCTTTGGAGCTTCAAGTGTCCGAGCAGCAGTACACTGCTAAGAAGCGGAACTCCTACCACGTCAAGCGAAAGGACCAGTCATGTGCGGCAACATTGGCTAATAGTCACTTTGGGTTACCATCTGATTTCAGGGAACTCGGTCTTCAGTCCACAACTCACGAGCTTGGAAAAACAAGTTGAAAGAGCTCCAAGCTACTTTCCAAGATCCGAACGATTCAGAGGCCATATCGCCCAGATATGTTTGCATCACAGCTTGCTACCCTATATTTGCCATTGCATGCTCACATTACCGGCAACACTGGTAAACAGCCTATAGAACAGCCAGAATAGCCTGAGAAGCACTGCTGTTGTTTCTCTCAAGTACACCCTTTTCGCACAACCCTAAACCCTAAACCAGCCACGGCTCCAGGAAGATGGAAAGGTAGGCAGACGCCAGGCGCTTGTAGGGATTCCGGACGAAGATGACCTTGAGCCGCCCGATGCCAAGCCGGCAACAGGTCCTGACAAAAAGAGAAACAAAAACCCCAAAGGTGGAAGATGTATGATGCATTATTACTTGTTTATGTTATGCTGTTATTATATTACCATAATGTTATATGATGATGTTGTTCTGGCATGGCATTGTATTTCTCTCTTGGTATATTTTTAATATTCCGGTACTATAAAAATACGTGGCCGAGTGGCAGGCAACTCGAGGAAGAGGCTGCCAGGATCTGGCCAGAGGATTCTTGGCCGAAGCGGGATCTCATGGCCATGTCCTTTGCATCCTGCTCCGGGTGCTGCTCCCTCGTAGCCGACCCCTTTCTTCTTACCCAGCGAGAAGCCCAGTCGAAATAACGCTCCTTGTTGGCGTCAAAGGGTCTCCAGGTGGAAGCCATCAAAGCAAGGTCACGTGCTTTGGGCGCGTCGATTTGCAAAATCCACCGCGCCACGGAAAGAGAGCCGGACTTGGAAACTGGTTGAACAGCCAAAGGTGCATTCAAGGGACAGAGCATCAAGCGAGCTTTTCTCCTGCACACAGCAGCAAGGAGGCAACCGTCTCTCGCACTTGGAACCACGGGACATCATAGCACCATATTTATTGACCCGGGCCTGGAGTCCCACTCTTCCCCGTGACAGTTGTCATGCACGAGCTGCAGGGGCTCTCTCGTTATTTTTGCCTTGCGTGCGGAATGTGTCGATATTCGGCAGTTGCCAGTGCCCCGTGAATAGGTGTCCTCAGCTTCAACACCCTCGTCCTGTGCGGCCAAACATAAATGGAACCATTGCAGGGAGGGGTGCGATGTTGATGCCAGGAATCGCAGCGACCCCATCCAGAAGCACATACTCGCAGAGGGCGAGGCAGAAGCTGCGGCACCTGGTGCCGGCACGAGGGTCACGGCCCAGCATAGCCCCGCGATGCCCAGCAGGCTTGTTGGATCTTCCCCGGTGCAGGCGAGGCACTGCCAAGGACCGCTCGGCAGCAACAACTTCATGCGGAGGCCAGCTCAGGCGCTGAGAGCTCCAAGGCATGACCTTGCCACGAACCTACAGCTCAAAAAAGAGCTCTGTGTCTTCTGCCTAAGCCCAACAAGATCCAAAAGCCGCCGTCGCATGCCATCACACGCCAACATCCGCTAACCACGGCACCAAGGCCTCTGCAACCGCTATCCGAATTAGGCCTCAACAAGTCCGTGCCTCCCAATGGAAAGCTGCCACACGCGGGAAGGAATCCACCAACCGTGCAAATGCAGAGATGACGGGATCAACGTAGTACAAGCTCTGAGATCTGTTCTCTTCGCAATGGGACCTGTCATGTGGGACACTGTAACCCGCTTCCATATCAGCTCCACACGTTGGCACCTGACATCCCAGCACGATGGGGTCAACCTCAGAAAGCGCCAAGGCTCTTCAGTGCCCGTCATCATCGCTGCTACTTAGCCACCGACTGCCGAGCGCCAGAGAGCAGCAAATCCTCCCCCCCCTGACGCGGGAGTATAGCCATCTCCAAGAGATCCAGCCAGAGACCGAAGTGCGTGTCCGGAAGGAAGGTTTTCAGATTTCCCACGCTCATGGCACAGGCGGGGCTCGGCGAGTTCAGACATCTGCAGCAATGCCAAGATGTGATTTCGGTGCGTTTTTGTTAAACCCTGCTACAGGCTTGCTGCGGCGGCAAAGTTGCCAACCGACCCGAAGGTTCAGGAGCCGAATGCCTGGACCCGAAGGTTCAGGAGCCGAATGCCTGCCGATTGTCAAAGCTGCATGGTCTCCATTCCAGCAGCCAACAAGCGCGGACGGACCAGCTGCACCAGATCTTGTTCTCCACTTTTCGACCGCTTCGGGCGTTCAGGTAGCTCCGCTACGACACAGACTCCAAAGGAAAATCGTCCTTGCTTTTTGATATTTTGAACGTGTCCAGCGGCATGTTGGCAATGGGAGAGTACCTGCTGCAGACAGATTACGCCGATTGTGTAGGATTTTAGGGTTGCAATCGAGTGGCTTGTCTTGCTCAGCGTTCTTGAACCACTTGATCGTCTGCAGGTGGTAGCCTTGGAGCCGGCGATATAGAGGCGGAACGAAAGCAAACTTGAAAAAAAGGACAGAGATGCTTCTCGCCATGGCTGATAATTTGCGCAACTGATCTTGAAGCTCGCCCAACCTGCGTAAAACTTCGGATGCTCTTGGAGTTGGAAGCATGCCGCAGTAAGCAAGCAACTGCCTCCCGTTGTACTTGGCGAAATTCTTGTCTACCAACTTGGCTTTCTTCTCCGCGTCCTTCGTAGCCTGGACCCAAGAATAGTCTTCACAGCTCCGGCATTTTCTTTTCACGAGTGTCAATTTCAAGCCGCTACTGGTGAAGCCGAGAGCCCGGCGTCGTTGAACTCTTCCACGGCACCCTCGATCTGAACGTTATCCTCGGCCGTGCCTTCGAATGCATCCTTTTCTCCTTGGCTCGCCGCACAGTGTACAACAGCACGGCTGCGGAACGTCTAAACTAATCACATGAAGCATTCTGAGGGCATCCCAGTGTCTCTCCGACCCACCGGCATCCTCGTCCTCATCCTTAACGGGATGGGTCGCATGTAAAACACGAGAGTGGGAGGCCCCCCTTCCTTGCCGTGCCTCGTCGAGGCCGCTGTCGTCAGCCGCCTGAGGCTCGGGGCCACTGCCCCCGGCCTCCAGCCCAACACGATACGTTAATGCGTCCCAGCACAGAGTACCGAAGGAGCCCCCCATAAGAAACGGATGGGCACGAAAAGCCTCGTGTCTGGAGGGCCCGTGTCTGGCAGCTTGCCTTTCCTGAAGCACGGCCAAGAAAAGCACAGCTACGGCGACAGTCAAACCAAGGAGAGCTTCATCCGACTCGACAGACCGACGGACATTCTGGCACTCCCACCTTTGCTTCATGTGATTCGAGCACCTGCGAAGAAAGCGTGCGGAGCCTACTCCTGGTCTTGCGCTTGTTACGCTGCATGCGGTCACGGCCGAGCCTCGTCGTCATCGACAATGTCGCGCACGGAATGTGCACAACTCCTGAGGCCCGAGACTTGTCGACCACGAAAAAGGTCCGGCTTTGCTCTTCTTGCTCAGCAGCTGAGCTTGGCACAAGGCCGTCAGCAAAATGAAAAAGTACAGTCGCATAACTCATGAGAAGCTGTGCGAGAACCTGTCGCAAGCGCCAAGCATGCTATTTGTTCGGTCTGCACGTGCTTGGCCTGCTGTGATCCTGCACCGACCCTTGCTTCGGAGGGCAGGAAAGGGCAGGAAACGGGCCTGAACTTGAGCCTTGGCAGCGAGCTTTGAGAGTTGGGCCATGTGGCGGCTTCGGACTCCGCTCTCTTGGAGAGGCGCGCTCAGCTTTTCAGCAATGCGCCAGTCAGCACCGCCGGACGACATGCAACTCGCAACCAGCTACACCTTGGCACCAGAGACTCTTGCTCCGGGCAACAGTGACGACAGAGCTGTCGGAAAGTGGCTTTGCCAGATCCTGGGCTCTAGCCGAAAAGCGATTTCAGAGACTTGCGCTCCTTGCCGGCACAGGACTGTTTCCAGAGGCTCTTGCGACATCTTGCGACCGTGTCAAACTGCAGATGCGACTAGCTGGACGCTTGTTCTGCCCGGCTGGAAGTTGGAGGTCGTTGCTGAGGTTTAGAGATGTCTGACATGTGGGTCGCGCTGTGGTCCGGCTGCGCCTCCGTGGCCTGCACCACCTTCGAAAACCGTGAGCGCGGGTTGTCCTCCGTCACGGCCACGGCCCTGAACGCATGGAGGCATGAAGCTCTTAGTGCATTCACCCCGCCAGGTCAACTCCACACCGCCTCATCACAGTGCCCTGGTTCATGGCGCTGAAAGCACCGAAGCCCTTCAAACCGCTCAACCTGCGAAGCTGGCATCTCCAGTGTCTTCAAAGACGTGGGAAGAGTTGGTGGAGGGGGCGTGGAGGACGCGTGCGGAGGGGGGTTCCGGCCCGTTAGGGACCCGCGGCAGCGGACGCAGCGGGGCCGAGTCGCGGCCTCTCCGGCTTTCCCTTGTTTTCTTTAGCTCTGCGTGATTCCCGTCGCCGCTTCTTCCATGTTACTCATCTGAACGTTCACGGCGAACTTTGATGGACGATCCCTCGTGCGTGAAAACCCAATTGGTGGAAGCTGCCCCGCCTCCTGCATCTACGTGACAATGCTTGCCTGGGGTGAAGATCTAGAGCTCCGGACTGTTCCGCTTAGAGTCCAACCCCTGTATTGCCGCGGATCGGTTCCCAAGCATTGCATTCCTTGTTTCTGCCAGAACATCTCCGGCTAGCGCGCGAGATCGCAGTGGTTCGCATTTCCGAAGGAGTCGGATTTTCAGAATGAGTCATTAAATATCATGTGTACCCTTTGGCAAAGTGCACGCGTCCCGGTTATGCTTGGAATCCAGATCGCGGCGCATCGTTTCGTACGTCCTGAGCTCGCATTGCAGCAAACACATCTCAAAGCTTGAGGCCACCTCCGTGTTTCCTAGTTTCGGCATGGACAACAGTACATCGTGGCAAGCAAGAACGCAGCTTGGGGCACGCGTGATCGCTCATGACTTCATGAAGTATCATAAAGTCATACAGTCACACACAAAGGTGCACAAGAAATCGGCATGGCTCAGCAAGCGAAGTCTTTTTGCGTCTGCAGAAAAAGGCAGTGCCCACTTTTCACTTCACAAGTCGCTGCGAAGGTTCCCAACGCCAACGGGCGGGGCATCGTCCAGGACATCATGGGGCGAATCTTCGCTTTTGAGGCCCACGCTCAGTGCGATGACGACAAGCCGCCCTAACTGGCTGGGGGAGGTGCTGATGATGTAGCGACGTCATCACTTCCTGGGCGAAAGAAGCAATTCGCGAAGCAGCAAGAACTGCTTTCATGACCTGCCGAGCCTGGCTGTTCTGAGTCGCCCTTCCCACGCTCATCCCTGGACCGGTCCTTGGCGTCACGATGACACTTGTGTAGTTTCGTGGTTTCGTGCACGGTCTTTGCCGCGGAAGGTCCAGCTTGACGTTCATGAGGGGCGAATACCTTTGCATCCAACTGTCGACACAGCCTACTGATGACTTGATGCACAAATGCGGAGTTTGAAAGCCTTGATTCCGCCGGTGCACTTGGGACCCTCGACATCTTCGAAGTACTGCATGATCTCCTACCATCAGTAGAGTAAGTCTTTAGAACTTCGGATCGACAACACAGGGAAGTTCCTCCTGCCACCGGAAGACCTTCTGAGACAGCCTGAGTCGCGTCTTTCGTCGAATCATTTGGAAACTCCCCTCTGCATGCAACTGTCATTCCCTCGCCTCTTCAAGGTCTCATCCAGCTTTTTGATCTTCTCATCCTCAAATGGTTGGATGGATTGTTTTGTTCACCAATAACGCCTGGCTGGCTTTGGATGTTTGGTGTGTGCACCGTGGGCCTTGGGATGAGATGCCAAAAAAACCCTCAGTGAATTTTACTCCCGCCACTGGCCCACAATGGCAGCTGATGGCAAAGCTCGCCGATGACGGCTGGAACATAACATGTATGTGCATGCGCCCGGAACTTCTCGTCGTAAGCTTACGCACACTCCGTGCTTCGAGGGGTTTAGCGGAAGCAGTTGCTGTTGGCTTCGTGAGTGCAGCGGTCAAATTAGGGTGCATCAGATCCACACCCCCGCCCTTGGCAGTGCTGGATAACAACTTGGCACCGGCATGTGTTGCTTCGGAGCTCGGCACAAGACACCTCCTTGGCAAAGTCTTTGTCCACCTTCTTGGACTTCTCTTGTGCATCACGGGTTGCTGATTCAACCTTTTCGACCTCAGTGTCCGCACCCTTCGGAGCACTCTCCATAACTGGATTGTATCAACCGAGCAAAGAGGCGTCTTCCTTGACTTTCTCAGAATCTTCGGCTGAGTTCTGGAAATCTTCTTTTGCTGACTCGTTCTGCTGCGCACTCGTCTCAGCTGGCTTTCCTGTCGTGGTGTCGCCCCGATCCAAGACTTCGGCAGAGGACAGAGCCTAAGCCAAGACAGCCTTGCGTCTGGGTCTGTGCTCAACCGTCACCACGCGTCTTTCGAAGTGACACGACGTCGAGCAACAGAGGAAACGCGCTGGCCCTGCAAGACTTCCCGGGCTTCTGCGATGTCAAGATGCCTTGGACGTCACAGTTGCATATCGGGCCTAACCGCGTAACTTGGGCTAGAGACAAGTTGCACGGCCAGCTGCCGCTGCAGGTGGAGATGTTCGTTTTGCTCCTGAAACGGGGGCAGCTTTTGCACGGCAGGTGGGCACACGAGCTTCGCAGCATATGACATGATGTGACATGTGCCTGGTCCAAGTCACGAGGGCGTGACAAGCCGCCTTGGGCTGAGCCTGCCCTCAGCCGAGCCGGGCGATCCAGGCCGAACTCCTCTTCCCGACTCGCTTCTGCCTCTTCTGCAGCATGTTGCAAGGACTGCAAGGATCTGGGACGTGTCTCCATCCTGCTTCGCTGAACCTGCGAAGAAGCACTAGCTTGCTGTTCGAAAAAGCCACGTCCTGCTAGGATGGCTTCACACCGTCATCTTGGCCTCGAGGTCGGCATCACGGGTAGATGCAGAGAGATGGAGCGCAAGGAGCACAATTGCGCCGAAGGCGCCGCTGAAGGGCATGTGCCACCAGAGTGGGCCTGAAAACACCCTCACATTCCGTGGAAGGCCTGGCGATAAAAAAAACCTGGCTCTAAGCCTCGAGCCCAGTGCATGAAAATCGCGCTAAGTTCTGTGACTTTCTGGCTATAGTAACTATAGTACTCGTGGCTTGGCCATGCCTTCGGTTCCCGCTCGGTCTGGGCGGCGGCGCATTGCTTGGCTCTTTCGATGGGGGCCTAGGAATATGCCAAAGCAGAAGCGAGGGTCGTGTGCGGGGTGTCTTGCCTGATAGATGGTGCATTGGCCGACCCCCGGAAGCCCTGGCTCGTATGTGCCTGGCAATACATTTCCGGCCTACTCGAGGCTCCTGATCTCAGACACCAGCCTCCGAAGCATCAGGAGCACTCAATCCAGAGTCTGCTAAGCCGGAACGGACGGGAGCAGCAGCATGTTCTGTTCCTGCTGGCTGCTGAAACGAGATTGGCTTTGGTGCAAGTCACAAGAAGCGAAAGCAAAGCCACGATGTCCTCGGACCGCCAGGTCCTTGCCTAGAGGTCAGCACGACAACAGACACAACACGAATCGCAGAACGTTTAGTCGGCACTGCTTCAAAGAAACCACACCGCATGTAAGACCAGTTGCTCTCTGCTTCAGCAAATATTTGACGATTTCCACCCATCTGATTGCGAACCTCGGCAAATCAGATGACTGACGCTCTTGCCAGGTTCAAGGGGCTATGCCTTCTCCACCAAGCCGTCGAAATCCCGGTGGTCATCCCACCTGCCGCTTCTATCACTGGGAATGGTGCAAAGCACACGTCACAGCACAGTTCCGCTTATCTTCGTGGCAAACCCGTGAATCCGAGCATGGCCACCATTTCTTGCGGAGCAATCGAATTTTGTCCTGCTGCTCCTTGAGTTCCCTTTTGCACTGATGGTACCTCAAGGATCGATGGGCCGGGGCGAACGGTAAAACCCGCAAGTGTGATCACGCAACAGAGCCTCTTCAGATTGGATGCCGAGCTACGCCGGGGGTGCCTTAACCTCTTCCTCATGGACCAAGCCCAAGACTTCACGCACCTGGACTCATCGCTTAGCAAAGTGCACCGCTTCCATGCACACAAATAAGCCTCCGGCAGCAGCCACAATGTCAATGTCACCTTGGGCATTTAGTACAGGCTGCTACGAGTTAGAGTGCTGTGCAGAAACTTGCCACATTGACACATCCAACAGGTACAAGGCTGCAAACACGCTGGGTTTCCACACCCTTACTCTTCAGCAGAGCTTTCAATTTCTTCAGCTTCGCATCCTCAGTGACTCCACCGAGCACTGCCAAAGTAATTCTTCAAGTGCCACATGGGGTCCAAGATAGATCAACCTGCCTGTCACCAATGCCGCACATGCAAGACAACATCGGGGACGAAACAAGAGACTTGCAAAGACTGTCGCAGCAATGTGGCTAACATGACAGAAGTCAGGGCAAATGTCTCCACACCCACATCCCGACAATAGCAACTTGATCTTCGTCGGGAAGACGATAAGCACAAGGACGATGAGGATAATCGCAACTATGCACACACACAAAAATAAACTTGTGAATTCATCTGCAGCCTCCAACCATGTCGGTTTGGACTGGTTCATAATCCAGGAAGCGCCCAAGCAGAATCCATCTCGAATCCAAACGCGATGCTAGGTTCATTGAACTCCTAAGACCAATGTAGTTAGTTCGTAGCCGGAACGGCAGACTGCAAAACGTAGCCTGCCAGCCCCTCAGGGCGTGACAATGTCGTGGATTTCTCCCCGCATTTCCTGCAAAAGCAGTGCTCCCAGCGCACATAGGCCAACGCAATATCTCAGGCCTCTGTCCGTGCTTGGACTTTTACCAGTTCTGCCACTGAGGTAGTCGCCTGGACGCTTCTAATCTTGCCAGGTTTCTGGAGGGGCAAAGCGGGCCTCCTCCTGAACAGAGCCGAAGCCTTCTGCTGGGCCTTCTGCCTCGGCTCTTAACCCATTCGGCTTCACGGCGGTCGGCTCCGAGGATCCGGCAGTAGGTCGCGTCTTGGAGCCAGGGGAGCTCCGCACAGCCGTCGCCTTCCCCGCCGTCGCCTCGGCCTCGCTTTCGATGTCGCTGTTGGGCTCGGGACCTGCCCCGCCTGGAAACACCTGGCGAAGAGTCACGAAAGCGTCTCAACAGCAAGTCGACAAAGAGGCCTCACCTTGCTGGGCTCTGGCGAGGCAGCCCCGCTCGGCAGCTCTAGATCCACAGCTGATGTCTTCTTGCCAACATTTCGTGGGGCTGAGTGTGCTTCAACGTCCTCAGCGACCTCGTCTTGGCCTTCCTCGCCTGGCACAGCTTCGTGGATGCCTGCGGAAGCACCAGATTGCCAAGCCTCTCGACAGCCAAGGCCAAACCGAGGCCGGAACTCCGAGCACTCCGAGCTGAACTGGGAGGTCTGGAAGATGGAGCCGACCGCGCTGCGCTCGCTGCGCGTGGGGACCCTGGAAGGTCGGCTCGGGCGCTGAGCGACCTCGCCAGGTGCTCGGGCCTGGCGCTGAGAGAGCCAGTAGGCTCAGCCCGCGTGCTCGAGGCTCGCTTAGGTTGCTCCACGAGCGACTCGTCTGCTCCAGGGCTTGGTGACCTGTCGCCGACAGAGTCTGGCCTGGACTCGGATGGGTCTCTGGCACTGGCTGGTCTCGACTGTTCGGCGTGCTCTCTTGCACTTGCCGGTCGTGACAGCTCTCCCCGAGAGCTCGTCTGCCTTGACCGCGCATTGTCGTCCGGCTGCTCAAGCAAGTTCGGCCGCCCATGGGTCTCTGCGGCCTGCCTGTGGCAACAATGCACTTGGAGCACGGGCCTTCGTAGCAGGCAGAAGCGCGGCCAAGCTTCTGCTGATCCTCGCTTTTGTTAATCGACTTTTGCCTCGGCGGGATCGTGCTCCCTTTGTTTTCAGATGGCACTGTTTGTCCTATGCTGGGATTCAAGCCCAACTTGAGTCTTGAGCTCGTCTATCCTGAACGGTCAGACACGCGCCCAAGGCTTGAGTGGCCCGTGAGGCCCGTGCTGATTTTGGAGGTCACGGTACACCTTCTCCTCGAATTTGATCTGCTCCTGCAGACCTTCCATGCGGCAGAAGCGGGTGCAAGGACAGAACACCTGCAAAGAGGCACCTTCAAGAGTCTTGGGAGCATCTTGATCCTCGGCCAATCCGACAGCGAGGGGATGTCCAACACCCACTGAAAGTGACTCAGAGAGGCAATCCTGCCCGACCGAAGACAGCCGACAAGAGCGAAGTTCCCGCGAGCAGCCAGGAGGATCGACAACACCACAGCAGACCGGGGTGAAGTAAGCTTGTCAAAGCCAGGAGCAATCCATCGCGTGAAATGAGCTTAGAAAGTTCGAACAGTGCCAATCTTTTTGTCCTGCCGGGCTGCGCTTGAAGAGAGCTGATGGAACTCTTTGCGAAGGTCCTTGATCTCCTGGGCGCGCGATTTTTTCCACACCCATCGCGACCTCTTGACGGCGGGGCTGGCCCAGCTATAGCTACTCCGCGACAAACAGAGCGGCAAACACAGAACAAGAACCCACCCCGAACAAGACCAATGAAGCCACGGGCACAACGACATAATCATCATCAACACCACCACCATCACCATCACCATCGTCATCAACAGCGACACCGTTCATATTGATCATCATATTCGTAATCATCCTCATCCCCATCCCCATCCCGATCATCATCATCATCATCATCATCGTGAGTATGTCCGCCACATCACCATCGCCATGCTCGTCGTCCTCCCTGTCGTCGCTGTTCACGCCATCATCAGCCGCAGCAGCAGCAGCAGCAGCAGCAAAAGAAACCGTTGTGTGCCAGCCAGCCCTGCCTTGCGCAATGTTTTCTGGCGCACTTTCTCCTGGAATCTCAGCATTCAAGATGCTAACAACTGGAGCTTATCCACAAAGAGTCACGGGATCGAAACCAATCCCACATTCACTTCCCTGCATGAGCATGACGTGCTAAGGCTAATCACGGCTAATCCATCTCTGGCTTCAACCCGCTGCATTTCTACTCTAAGTTTGTTGCAATTCACCTATGGCAGAGATGCAAGATGCAATCTGAAGAGTTGAATGTGCACGAAAGATGTCACAAGACATGTCCTCCCGAAGGCTGTTGGAGCTCTCAGATAAGGCTGCTTGCCTCGGGCACGGTGCGCAGAATTCAGCTATTTGCAGCTTGCAATCGGGCCCATCCACTGAATCCAAGCAGCAAGTCTTCGACCTTTGCAACTGTACATCTATTCTGTACCCGTGGCGGCGATGGAAGCACGAGCCTCCTTCTTCAGCTGCTCTTCTATCTCCAGTCCCTGAAGTGAGGGATTGGTCACAGACGGGAGCTGATGTCGCAGCAGGGCTCGGAGCCTCGTTGCTCTTGGCGCTCAGACCGAGGATTTTGCTCGCGAGGCTGGGCGGCCCTCTGCGCTCCGGTGGACTCGCTGGGCTCGCCGGAACCACCGGACTCACCGGACTGCCCGGACTTTCTGGTCTCGCTGGCCTAGCTGAGGCTGGCCTAGCTGCTGGCCGCGCTGAGGCCTCTGCTTCCGGTTGGACCCTTAGTAGACAGTACACTGCGAGTCTTTCCGTCCCGAGATCTCTTCGAGCCGGGATGCTCTGCAGCCTTTTCACTCTCCAAACGCCCATCGGTCCTTAAGGCTCGCAGCTTGCAGCACAAACCGTGTTTACTTGTGTTTACTACTCTCCTGTATGCGGGGAACCGTGTCGAAGGTGGTGGGTTTTTTTAAAGACACGCCCTTGTATAGCCACTGGTGCATGCCATAAACGAATGTATAGTGGCATGCACTTACACGGATAGATGAATGGATAGCTGTCAGTGCGTGTACACAGGAATATGTATATATTATATATAGATATATACAAATACGTAGAGATGCCTGCATGCATATACATTTACATATACATATAAATATGCCTATACATATGCATATACATATACATAAGCACATATATACAAACACACATACACATACACGTACACGTACGCTCGACGAGGTCAGGCGAAGTTTGCAGCGACGACACTAGTTACAGCAGACTCTTTACGAGTTGCTTGCTCAGTCCGCTTGGCATCTGTACGAAAGCCAAGCTTCACAAGAAACCACAGCACAGCGGATCGGAACTTCTGACTATCCAAACATACATAGCATGTGGTGTGGTGTTACAGTCACTTCGTCGGCCAAGGTTTCAGTCTAACCTTCACCTGCATCTAGATTTTACATTTTTTTCCTCTTTCCACAATGACGCACCCGTAAATAGATGCTTACGCTCATACACGTACACCCTCGGGCCCTTGGCCGGCTCACCCACCCCCTGTGTTGTGGAGTGCATGGCTTGGGGGAGAACCGATCGGTCAGTCAGACTTCTGTTTGGGGCGAGTTCCCCGATGTCGGAGTAAGACGTAGGTGAGCTGCAACTACACATGCCCCGAGGCAGCACAGGCATCACTGCCAGGGAGAAAGAAGCTGACCTGATGCAAACAGGGCCTACGACCTCCATTGCGCACGCAGTCCTACAGATTGCAGAGGCGAGGATTATGTCATACATGCGCCTCAGGTGTATGTGTGCAAACAAATAGGGCTCTTCTCCTCGTTGCAATTCCCCCCCCCCCCACTCCTGCACCTACCCTTCCTGGCCCAGGCCAAAATCCACCCCGGCCCCCCACTCCCCAGCCGGATGCATCACAAATCATGCAGGATCGGTGGCCTTGGAATGCCTTGGAGGGGCAATTGTGACAGATGCTGGTGCATACTTCGGGGAGCCTCCAAAACCAACCAAAAACGCCATCGGCTGTGCGTCACAAGAACTTCAGCAAAATCAGAGAAGTCATGCTTGGCAGACTCCAAGTTGCCGAGACGGCTCCGGCTCGGGAGCCTTTGCTTGCTCGGGCGCCTCCTCAGGGGGCTCCACCTGCTAGGGTCGGTGCGGAACTAAACCCAGCGCCGAATTTGACTTGGCTTCATCTCAACACGACATGATGCCCTCCTCACTGGCAGATTCTTCAGAAACTTCATCCGCAGATGGAATCTCGTCAAGACTAGGTGGCTCAAACCTTAGCAAGCACAAAAGACACAGCAAGCCAGTAGATCTGGGTCTGGTCATGTGCTGCCAAGCATCTCCTGCACGATGCTGTCAAATCCTTTCTTGGCCTGCAGCCGGATGTGCGGCAGGGAAAAGGAGCTTTCAGGCCGGCTCCCCCCCCTTCACGGGACCCAGCCTTCTTCCGGCAGTAGTGCAGGAGTCGTCGCTCAAACCGCATCCGCTTCAGAAGCTTCCGGGCTTGATCGATTTGCCCGTCCTCAGAATACCAAAGCATGTCTTGCAAAGCCTCAACCTTCAAACCTTCAGAATTCCATTTGCTAGGGGTCCTTTGTCGCGATGTGCTCACGCAGCATCTTGACCTGAAGGGCGGGGGGCGTGCGAATTCGGACTGCGCTTCACGAACCCCAACCTCTGCGCCTTGGGGTCATCTTTGAAATCCTCGACCGAATGGAAATGGCGAGCTCCGGCGCTTCCAGCCGGTGCATCCTTGTTGAGTGTGGAAATGGCGGCTGCTGTCCTGCAAGTGCCACGGGAGGGAGACGTGGAGAGCCGCACCAGGAGTCCCTGTCAGGCCTGGCTGCCTGCTTCATCCTTTGTGCAGCACTTGCTTTCGGCTGAGCTCCCTGGATCTGGAGGCCCTGGCGCGCTCCAGGCCGTCAGGTTTCTGAAAAAACTCCGACTGGCAGATCTGTGCAGCCAACTTTCCTCCAGCCGTGCATCCAAGACAGCAGATTTGTTCTGCTTGGAAGCTCCTCCTGAGCAAGGAAAGCAAGCACAGCTCCATACCGGTCCATACTCGTCCAGAAACTGTTAACCCTCAGAGGGGTAACAATGGAACTTTAGCCATCAGCTCGCAGAGCAAGACGCGGAACCAACGCAAAGTTGCTTCGCACCGCGGGTATTGCAGTGCAACAAAACAGTCACCAAGTGGCGTGAACTCTCCTCGCCAAGGTCCGGCTCGGGGTGATCATCCAACAGCTTTTCCAGCTTGGCGTCCTGCTCCTCCTGCCACGACGTGTGCCGAGCTGACATGCAATGGGTTGTTTTGCTGCGGGAAGAGGAAGAGCAGAAGAAAGCAACTACCAAACTCCGCCGCTGGTACGGGCTACAACCCATGAAATGCAGCATAAGGTTGCTCCTCCTGTGACTTTTCCTTCTCTTCGCGTTGCCTTTGAAACGCTTCCTTGGTCCAAAAGCCCAGGCAGCCAGGCCCCCGCCTTCAGAATAATTTAGACAAAGCTTCGATGTCCTTCTCCTGTTCCGCCAGGATTCTTTCGAGCTCCTGGCATTCCTCCTCCAACTCCTGGCGAAGCCATGCACCATCTTTGCCAAGACTACATGCCAGCTGTGTGCCTCCGCATCCGGTACGTCTTCAAGGTCACCCACATCGATTTCGGAGAAAAGCTTCTTGTGCAGCCTTTTCACATACTCAACCTCGGATCGCAGCCACAACCCTGGAAGACTTCACCCATGGCCCATGGCTGCCTTGCAGGGCCCCCGCGCCATGGGCGAAACACCCCAACGCTTCGCACCGATGTATACTAGGCGTCGTCAAACAAGTCTGACGTTTTTGGCACGGGTCCACAATGTCCCGTACCCTTTCGAGTTCGTTTTTCTGGTCACGCAAACACCCGCTGAACATTTCATTTCCATGCTCCGAGGGGAAGGGAAGGCCAAGCTTTCTGGTGCAGCTGGGCCACCATGGCTTCATCCTCACATTCGGCTTCGAGGAGTATACAAGCCACATGTACGCAGTTGCTGCAAATGAAAACCGTTCGCTCAACCACCAAGGCAAGAGTCCTCCGGCGAGGGGCTGTCGAAGTCCAGGATTATGCCCGCCTTGAAATTGCGCGTGAGAAAATCGACGGCTGCATTCATTGTGGCTGTAGCCTGCATGGTCGTCAGCAGACATGAAAACCTGCAAAAATGCTTCAGTTGATTCAAGAAAATCTCGATGTTGCCTTCTTGGCTAGCTCGGATCTGCCTTGCACACCATGTTTCAACACCCGTGAAAGCTGTAGACTAAGGTGTCTCGTGTAGTCGAGATGCGCTGCAACTCTGCGTTGCCTTCCTGGACCACCACCATCGCCTGGAGAGCGTGATTTCTGCAAGCTCAAGACTCACACAAGCATGAGGCCCGCATGCCTGCAGAATTTCGATTGCCGATCCTTTGCCGCCAGCCACCTTCCCGGCCTTCTCATTCATCCGGCTCCTCGGCATGCCCAGGACCAGGGCGTTTTTACCATGCAGTGTCCTTGCCACTCACTACTGGCCGCCAAGTTTCCATAGCTCTTTAGCCCGATTCAGATCCCAAACATCCTGATCCTTCAAGTCCTGAGCGTGGGCCAGGGGTTCATTGGATTGGCGCATTTTCCGCCTCACACATGACATCAAAAGAAAGGCCTCCTCATTTGCAACGACTTCAGGTAACTCCTTGGTGGGCATGGCTCCCGAACCATCTCACCTGCCAATTGCAAGTTAGGGGTCCTCCTCCTCCTCTGGTGCTTCTTCTGGTGCCTCTTCCTGATGTGCAGCGTGCGCCGTTCCGTAACGGTTCTGCATGGTTGCATCCACGGCACCTTGTCGTCGTCCCCGAAAAGCTCGAAAAACGTGGGCCTCGCCGGGCCAGCTTCAGCTTTTGGCTCCTGGAAGGGATGGAAAGGAGGGCGGCCTGCGCTCGCTACGACGTGCAGAATCGCTCCTTCTCTTCTGGCTCCTGTAACATGGTGACCTTCTTCTTCGGTGCGGCTCTACTCTTCGCAGCTTTTGAGAACCTGTCAAAAGAAAAACCGCAAAACTCTGAGAAACGCATGAGGGCAACAAAAAATATCGATCAGAAACGTTAAAAGGGGCACTTCTGCCGCTTGCGGAAGGTGCCATTGGCACCCGCTTGGAGGGTCGCACTACACCTCATAACTGTCTCAACTTTCATGGATTTGTTCGACCTTTTCCGAACGTACGGATCACGAAGACTTGGCTGTCGGCTTGACAAGTACTTGTACCTCCGTCATGCCTTTTGCTTCAAAAGCCTTCACCATACTGTTCGAGGACTCCTGGCACGCGCCACGGAACTGACACAGAGTTGCGGTCCTCGGCTCGGAAATCGCAGACCTTGGTCTCCTCATCCCTGCGATTTCACACGAGTTCGGTCGGCACTTGCTTCCGTCTGCGAGTTCTGCACGGCCTGTCGTTGAAGTCCTTTTCCAGAGTCTCGAGTTCGGCCATCTCTGTCTCCACGATCTGCTTTCGGTTTTGATAAAAGGTGTGTAGTGAGTCCTCGGCACGGCATCAGGTCAGCTTGCGACGCCATCTTCCGCCGCAAAAGGTTGCAGTTGCTGCGGGATGGCCAATGGTGCTGAGTGCAGCCATATCAAGTGTAACAGAGGTGGCCGTGCCCAGTTTGTGGCCATGTCTCCATGATCTCGATGCGATCTTGGCACCTCAGGGTCAGCACCGACATGATGCTGAGAAACTCCGCACAAGCACTGTGGAAACACTCTGCGACGATCTGTGGGTGGCGCTTCAAGTTGTCCAGCATTGAACCTATGCGTTCTCCGGCTGCTTCATGGTCATAGTCTTCAAGATCACTATCCTCGACACGGCAGAACGGAAACATTTATGCCAATCCGGCAGGGCTGGTCATTGACTGCCGATGGCACTGCAGACATGCGGCAAGCTCCACGACGTTGTCTTCCTCATTTTGTTCTGAATCAGGTGTACTGCTGCCCGTGCTGTCCTGCACATTGCAGCTGCTAGCAGAAGATTCGTGCCCTTGATCATGCTGAAACCCATCACTGACTTGACAACTCCATGCCTGGACGGAGCCCTCCTCCAGCACGAGTATCTAATGCTGGCATGGGGCACAGACAAACTTCGCTGCGAAGTGCCTCTTGAACAGGCTCATTGATGAAGCTCGTCGTAAAGGAGACCGCATTTTCCTCTGCCCTCGGTTTTGCAGAAGCAATGAACCATGGCTTGCCGCTTAGCCCTCTGGGCCAGGGGCTGCTGCTGTTCGCGAGCTTCCTCTGCTTGCTGCTCAAGCTCCTCGGGCTTGGTTACCAAACTCCAAGCTGATACACCGGAGATAAGGCCGAGGTGCTGCTTTGGTTGCATACCTGCGAGACGTGGCTTGGCAAAGACAAAGCCTTCCTGACCCTATGTGGCCGTGTGATCCGGTGCACCGCTGTTTCAAGCCAGGATGCAACAAGTTCACATCCTTCGAAATACGAGAGGCAATGTGTAACATCTGCTTTGCATTGCCGGCACCTGCATCAGTGCAGTAAAGCTCGCATGCATCAGCTCCAAATGTTCAGAAAAACTTCAGAGACCACGTAAAGCAAGACAGAAGCCTGTGAGCGGGAAGAGATTTCCGATGGAGCGCCTGGACACTGCGCTGCGCTCACTTCTGTCAGGCGAGTGCTTGGAGAGTCATTGCAGAGCGTCTCCTTCCACCCGAATGGCGTCTGCTGCTCTGTCGAGTGGCATAGCTGGCGCCTTGCACTCGCAAGACAACGCAGCTCTTCACATCTCACATCCCTGCAAAATGAGATCTTGGCTGGATTCTCGCTCGTATAAAGATGCATCCGAATCACCACGGCGCTGCCGAATGCCTTGCGGGGATTGACGGCACTTCCGCTAGCAATGCACGTGGCCATCAGAAACGCTGAGACCAAAGCTGCTGCGCGAAGCGCTTTGAACAAATCCTAGCAGAAGAACTTTTGCGAAGAGGCTCAACGGCTCAATGCGAAAGCCGGCAACGCTTCAATCTGATGCATGTGCGGGTATAGTAGGAATTGGAAAGACAGAATGCAATGAAGGGAAGACTACGATATACAGGCAAACCGTGTGATCTGCACAACCTATGTGAAAGGGGGCTGAATACGGCTGCAACAACCCCACACAAAAATTCCAAGCGACCTAAAGCCACCGGGAATCAAACCAAGTGGAAGGGAAGAATCAGTATAGGCCATCAATCGCGAGCATCAGACTGGACCACTATACGAGCTACTCCTACCAGCAGTATCGTCGTCACCATGGCCATACAAGAAGTCCCAATCAAAGGGCTCAGGTGTGTAAATGCTTCAAGTGAAGCTGCTCCGACTGCGCCGAATCCGACATCGGCTCGCTGCACGCGAATGCGGGTGCACATCGGTGGCCGTGGGGGTGGGGGTGGGTGCAGTGCTGCAGGCGCAGCTTTCGGTGTGGGTGTGTGGCGCTTGTTGGCTTGCGGGCGCTTAGGCAACCGCCGCATGTACTGTGGCACGAATAGCTGCTGGGCCGCAGCTCAGCAAGTATCCTTTCTGTTTTTGCTTTGGTGCTGAAAGATGCCATTTGAGACATAGGAGGACATGCTTCCTTGACAACAAGTAACATGCAAAGCCTAATCCACAAGTTAAACAAGCGTAACATTGCAGTTGTCACAAAAGTTAAGGCCATGTAGCCGGACGTGCATCAGTTGTGGAGCATGCTCTTTTGCTCTGTCGCTCAACATCCAAGAGTCCAAGATCTAGTGCCGTGTTGCGGGGCCATACCGTCCCTGAGATTGATCTCGCTGATCCGAGTGGATGCACACATGCTTAGGCGGGCCTTTCATTCACAGAATCGCCACCACGATCATGACGGCAGCAAGGCGTGGAACGGCACATGCTGAACCAAAGCAAGCTGCGAAAATTATCAAAATCCTCTCCCGCAAGCATTCTTTGAAGGAAGCATGGCACTCGGTTGCGCTCTCCTTTGCAATAGCATCACGTACGGCGTCTTCTTTTCAATTTCCGAAGGATGGCAAGCTCATGGTGAAACGAGCGAGTTGATGAAAGCCTCCTAGGCGTGCAAACTTGGCTCCAGCAGGTTGGCCTGCCCGCGGCACTTCCAAAAAAGACTCATCGTGCGGTTGATCAAAACACCACGAGCATCCACTCGATATCCAAGGGCCTCTATAGACCTTTGCGAGAAATGAACCGCTAAATGGCCTGCATCCGTCAGATTCGTGCATGGCCCACGCTCTGGCCAGGAACTGGCTGGAACTACTCGCGGCACTATCGAAATTAAACCATCTGTCGCCATGGCCTTCAACACAAGGCGGTCCGAACAACTGTCTGGGCTCTGCGTCACTGTTGATTTTTGCTTGGATTTCAGCGCATCAATCATCTGTGCAACAATCCTTTCATACTCCATCTTGGTACCGGACATAAGGGAGCTTGAATCAGGTTGGTAGATGGTGAAATCTCCGTTGTTGGATAACTCCTGGCCGGGGGTGAGGTAAGTGGGCACAGTATCGAGATCGGCCAACCAACCACCACCAACAGCTGCCATTGCTGCGTAGCGTAAGTAACATGCAGTCTCTCTGCTGCGATGCGACACACGTGCTTGCGACAAGGCTTCCAACATGGCCTTGTACAGTCCAGTGTGCTGAGCTTCAAAAGTTGTCAAAACACGGACGTGCCATCCGGCACGCCGCCAACTGTACTTCCAAGCTGACAAGGCTTCTGTACTTGCATGTGGCGCATCCAAAGACTCGAACTGCCATTCATGGAAGACGTGGATGATACGCTTCGCGACGCGATGTCCCCAAGTCTTCTCCACAATGTCTTTGCACACCAAAGCTCCGGCCACCAAAACAAACGCCACGGCAAGCCCTTGGCCGAGAGCACGAATCCACAATTTCAACATGGCGACGCATCACTGATTTAGTGACATTGTTGGTGCCATGCTGGTGCCACGGTGCCCATATGTGTCTGTACTGTGTGCAAGCCAAACGACCGGCTGCTTGGTACACCACCTGCTTCACTCTTTGTCATTGAAACTGCAGCGGGAACCTCGAACGGTAACCGCCGGATGCGCCATCAACCAAACCAAAATCCCAACTCCCAATACAGGAGACGACCATATGCTGAATTTCAATATTCAGGTCATATAAGAGCCGCCAGGGAAAAGTTATTTTTGAAACAATGATTTTTGCAGATGTGAGCGGGCATGGGCTGCTAGGTAATCATGAATATCAACGCTCGCATTCTTGCTGGTTGGTTGATGCCCCCAGAAACGATTGTTTTGGTTCTTAAGAAGAACAAATCGGGAAGGTTTGCTAGGGTTGCTGTGCCTGCTGACGTGAGACATGGTCCCTACTTCCTAGGGTCGCTGAAAGGATGCTACCTCTCAACCATTTCTCCCGGGGTGGAGAGCTTCGATGTCCAAGCTTGCAAGCAAAAGTTCATGCCTTCTCAAGGCCTCCGAGTTTCATCTTCATAAAACATGAAACTGCAAATTTTGATTTCCGAACAGTTTTGTCTGAACCCGGGATGAAACAATTCGATTGGTGCTGCATCAAGCATGAATGAAGTCTTGCTTCCAAACAGTCTTGTCCGAGCACCAGCGGAACACGAACGGCTCAGCTTCTAAAAAAACCGAGCATCCACGTAGCGTTTCTGAATTCAGGTCGAAACTAGCAACTAGTGTCTATTCTGGGCTGTGAAAATGACTCTGGGGAAATGTATTCTCCATGATCACAAGCTGAAAATAAGCTGTTTACAGTTCGGTTTCTTATAAACAAGGGAACTGAAACATTCGTTATCTTCACACAGTTTTCTAGGGGCCCAAGCTAAAGCAAAGATGTTGGCTTAAATTTTCTGCAACTAAATTGAAAAAGTGTTCTTCAGCTGGGCTCAGAGGAAAAATCTAGGAAAACTTCTTTTGTTTTCTGCGGACCTTTTTCCGGCAGCCCGGAATTCCACGCGTGAGTGCCTGCTTATCCCTAGCTCATGCGCATCACGCACGCAAGCGCAACCTGGAGGGTTGCTCCGCCTCGGTGAGCTCCACGACCTACCGGAGCGGCGTTTGCTCGTCTCCGGTAGGCTGCGGCGGCGCTCACCGGCGCTCGCCAGCAGCCGCCCAACAGTGTCGAGGCGCGCTGCAACGCGCATCCGAGCTGCCCCCGCCACCGGCGCTCCCACCCCACGCGGGCAGCAGCACGCAGCGCCCGCGTCTCCAGGCCCAGGCTCTGGAAAAGAAGTTTTTCCCGAGCGCTGCTTCTCGTAAACGAAATGGAGCGGGAAGAGCTTGCTCAACCAAATTTTCTCAATCTGCAAAAACAAACTTTCCCGCACGATGCTGGAAAAGTTTTTGCAATTTAAATCCTCTCCAGCCCAGGCTCTGAGAAACAATTTTTTTCCGAGCGGTTTTTCTGAAAAAATTGTGCACGTAATTTTTTTCCAGCAATCTTTTCAAGGCCTAGGCTGAAAAACTACTTTCCGAGCGGCTTTTATGCGAAACCGTGTGGAAAAAATGTTTCTTCAGGTTATTTTTGGGCGAATTCTTTTAAAAAAACAACGATTCGTGTCAAAACAACGGGGTCATCGGGATCGGCACGCGAATGTGCATCTCAAAGTCACGGTTCCTGAAAATTTGAACCCAAAAATAGTGTTGGAATAAATCTTTTCCGGAACGGTTTCATTGAAAAACCGACCGGAAAATGTTAGTTTCTTTGCGAGAGCTGTCCAGTTGCGAAGCTCTGAAAACATTAAAGGTTCCGGACAAGCTCTGGACCCTTGCTAACGGGCTGTTTGGCCCAGAACGAAATGCCATTCTCTATAAGGAAGCCAAGCTTTGGTCGAGAGCCGCTCAGTTGAAGCTCGAAAAAAAACGGAATTTGGGTTTCACTTTCTATTTTTTGCCATCGGACATTTCTATACCACATACGAACAAAAGGCAGGACTGGCAGGGCGCCAGGTGTGTCACGTAGTGCCGCTAGCATGAACTTAATTTCGTGCAAACTGGGTGTCAAATTCGTGGAAGTGGGTGTCAATTTGTGGCAGCGAAAAGTATTTCAACAGTCTTGAATTTCCCAAGCAACTTTCTGGGCGAGCCTCCAGGCCCCAGCATTTTTCTAGAGGTTTTCAGGAGAAGAATTGTTCCTAGTTGATCCTTCCGAGTTTTCTTTATGGATTGTTGGTCCAAGTGGAGGAATGATTTCATGCACGAAACCATGTGAAGCAGAGGTGGCACACGATAGAAAATGCTTGGGAAAAAATCAATGCTCACCATCGGGAGGTTTTTGATTGGCTTCAAGCACTGGCTCAAAGGTTTGTTTTGCATAGCCCAGAACTAGCAAAGCTTCTTGA